TCACTTATCATTCCGAATCAATATCTATAATTCATATAAATTGGGTCGAGACAAATGATTACCACCAATGATATCGCTAATGAGCTCATCCAAAATATCCAAACAAGAAATTTTTATGTTGGAACAACCCCTCACCAGCGACGAAATTACAACTCTATAAAATCAGTGCGAAACAACAAATCATCTGGGATAGACGAAATCAGTAAGGAATTCTACACATAAATTTGTGAAACACTATAGAAATATAATTCACACAAATGATCCATATTTTTTCATCCGACCCTTCTGACACACATTTGCAAAAAATCAAGACATCACAGAATTCCTAATCACCATTTAGAAAAAGATACTCTGAATGAACAGTAATTTATAGATGATAGAATGTGGGACCAGTTTTGAAACTATGAAGCTTTTCATTCCCTAGGCTCTAAAATAAAACCTCTAAACAAAGACCTGTACAGCAACTCGATGCCCCACATTGTACCAGCATATCAAGCATATATTTTAAATCTTCATCAGACTCTTAACTTATTGCGGAAGAGTGGAAAATGTCAGGAACAAAGCTTCTACTGGGTTAAAATGTTACTTCTTAAGGAGTTCTTTACCCAAGTCTTCGAATTCATAACATTGGGTGATAATAAATCTTTTAAGGCACATTAAAAGTTACCGATAAGATATCTTTTCTATTTTTCAGAGAGTAAACGCAATTGTCCGAAGGTGAACCCAGCGAGAATGAAAAGAGTGTGATATTACTTTGTTCATGGCATGAGTAAATAAAAGTAAAGGGTGAATTTCAGGTGGAAGCAGGTATTCCAGAAGATCAATCTGTCATATACATTGAATGAGCTCTTTGTTAGGAATGGACTAGATGACAGCAACTATCTGAACTGTCCAAAGATGTCCATATCACCTCTTGGTTATACCTTCAAGATTATCATTTAAACAAGAAATACATGCAACAATATATTGATTGATGCACATGATCATACCGCATGAAACGCCCACAAAGAACGGAACATTCAAGCCACTTAAGATTACAGCCACGATGACCCCAATTTAGTAGCTTTTAATTTGACTGGAAAATGAGAAAAAAAAAAAAATTAATGTCTCCAGGTGAAATGCACAAGATGCAAAGGGAAGCGAGCTACATGCTCAATCTGGAATTTAGTCAATAGAGCTTTGCTGTGAACTGCACACAACTTTTAGTTTGTAAACACCTTGCGACATTGTGGGTATAAAAAATCCTGGCTGCGCCCCAGCTATCTACATCCTACAAGCTGACTAAGCAAGTTCGATACTCTCAAGACATGGTAGCTGTTCGAATGAGATTCTTAAAATACAGATGCAACCAAATGCAGCCCACCTGACCCTTACCTCAAAATGCAGTGGCTGTAAAGGCAATGAACACAATTCATCAAGCCAGAGGAAACTACATTGCAAAGCATTCTGCAAAACATGAGAGAAATGTAGCACGACGAATCACTTTGCAACAGTGTGTTGACAGAAAGACTCTGCAATGGAGTTAACAGCATATGCTAATCATTTTGAACAGAGAAACAACACAACAGAGATCATAATCAATGCCACCATAACAGCCCATGATGGTTATCTACGCCACAAACATATTTCTACATATCTAGACAGTGGAGCCAGCATATGCCTTGCTGGATTAGCTCTTTTAAACACAATCTTTTCACAACAATGTAATCTAACACAAATGTAAGAAAGTTGTGCAAGCAGTTGAAAACTTCCGTCTGGCCTATCACGGCTCTGCGGTGGGGTGCATGAATATGCTTGCCAACGCACCTTTGATTACCCTGCGTGAGTTCGCAAGTTCGAATCCCATGAGGGATGGTACGTGTGAGATGAATGCTGGACTCGCGCCGCCGCAGGGTGGCTCATGTTAGATGGTTGACTATGGTTTCCTTCACCATCAAGTCCATGCTTCTGAAAACAAAATAACTGGCTAACTAATCTCATACCCGACATGAACTGGTAACGGGACGAGAGGTCGTGGTTCGTTCAGATGATTAAACAGTCTATCGGCTTCCCCTGCATCCGGAATAAATATGTAAATCATATTCTTTAATACTCCATGCCACTATCTAATTCTCTACTAGGCCAGCAAGTTCACAGACCAAACCGTTATATTTCTCCCGAAATTTACCTCTAGCAGAGGATACATGCACTGAACTCAACATCATTTTCCACATTCCAAGGGACAACACGTCACAGCTGCATTAGAAGCAACCATGGACCTCGCCCCGAACAACCAGTATTTTAGTCGTTTTCAGCTTATCTGGAAAACAGTATGTGCGAAAAGCTAAACCTAAAGCACTTTCATAGCACTAGTGAATTTTCCTATATAGGGTAGGTAGTTGTTCCCTTCAGTCCTATGAGGGAATGCACCAGTCTTGTTAAAAGGGCTTTTGGCTAAGGATCCTTAATAGGTTTTAGTTTTCGCATAGATTCTTTTCAGATAGCTATAAAGGGTAGCATACTGGGGGTTGGGGTCTGTTGTGTTCGCTAATCAAAGTAGCTATGAACAGAGTTGTTCTGTCCTACCTTCAATCACATTTCCCTTATGATAGTGATTGGATGACATCTATTGGAATTGGGAAGGATCCGGGTTCAATCCATGTATCTCTGCTAGAGTATAATTTTGGGAGAAATATACAGTTTTGTCTGTGAAACTTGCTGCCTAGTAGAGAATTAGATAGTGGCATGGAAGTATATGATAAATTCACATATTTATCCAGGGGAGGGGAAAGCTGATAAGACATTTTAATCATCTGGAGAACCACGATCTCTCCGTCTTGTTACCAGTTCATGTCGGGTATGAGATTAGTTAGCCAGTTATTTTGTTTTCAGAAGCATGGACTTGATGGTGAAGGAAACCATAGTCAACCATCTAACATGAGCCACCCTGCGGCGGCGCGAGTCCAGCATTCATCTCACACGTACCATCCCTCATGGGATTTCGAACTTGCGAACTCACGCAGGGTAATCAAAGGTGCGTTGGCAGCATATTCATGCACCCCACCGCAGAGCCGTGATAGGCCAGACGGAAGTTTTCAACTGCTTGCACAACTTTCTTACATTTGTGTTAGATTACATTGTTGTGAAAAGATTGTGTTTAAAAGAGCTAATCCAGCAAGGCATATGCTGGCTCCACTGTCTAGATATGTAGAAATATGTTTGGTGGCGTAGATAACCATCATGGGCTGTTATGGTGGCATTGATTATTATCTCTGTTGTGTTGTTTCTCTGTTCAAAATGATTAGCATATGCTGTTAACTCCATTGCAGAGTCTTTCTGTCAACACACTGTTGCAAAGTGATTCGTCGTGCTACATTTCTCTCATGTTTTGCAGAATGCTTTGCAATGTAGTTTCCTCTGGCTTGATGAATTGTGTTCATTGCCTTTACAGCCACTGCATTTTGAGGTAAGGGTCAGGTGGGCTGCATTTGGTTGCATCTGTATTTTAAGAATCTCATTCGAACAGCTACCATGTCTTGAGAGTATCGAACTTGGCCTAGTCAGCTTGTAGGATGTAGATAGCTGGGGCGCAGCCAGGATTTTTTATACCCACAATGTCGCAAGGTGTTTACAAACTAAAAGTTGTGTGCAGTTCACAGCAAAGCTCTATTGACTAAATTCCAGATTGAGAATGTAGCTCGCTTCCCTTTGCATCTTGTGCATTTCACCTGGAGACATTAATGTTTTTTTTTTTTCTCATTTTCCAGTCAAATTAAAGCTACTAAATTGGGGTCATCGTGGCTGTAATCTTAAGTGGCTTGAATGTTCCGTTCTTTGTGGGCGTTTCATGCGGTATGATCATGTGCATCAATCAATATATTGTTGCATGTATTCTTGTTTAAATGATAATCTTGAAGGTATAACCAAGAGGTGATATGGACATCTTTGGACAGTTCAGATAGTTGCTGTCATCTAGTCCATTCCTAACAAAGAGCTCATTCAATGTATATGACAGATTGATCTTCTGGAATACCTGCTTCCACCTGAAATTCACCCTTTACTTTTATTTACTCATGCCATGAACAAAGTAATATCACACTCTTTTCATTCTCGCTGGGTTCACCTTCGGACAATTGCGTTTACTCTCTGAAAAATAGAAAAGATATCTTATCGGTAACTTTAATGTGCCTTAAAAGATTTATTATCACCCAATGTTATGAATTCGAAGACTTGGGTAAAGAACTCCTTAAGAAGTAACATTTTAACCCAGTAGAAGCTTTGTTCCTGACATTTTCCACTCTTCCGCAATAAGTTAAGAGTCTGATGAAGATTTAAAATATATGCTTGATATGCTGGTACAATGTGGGGCATCGAGTTGCTGTACAGGTCTTTGTTTAGAGGTTTTATTTTAGAGCCTAGGGAATGAAAAGCTTCATAGTTTCAAAACTGGTCCCACATTCTATCATCTATAAATTACTGTTCATTCAGAGTATCTTTTTCTAAATGGTGATTAGGAATTCTGTGATGTCTTGATTTTTTGCAAATGTGTGTCAGAAGGGTCGGATGAAAAAATATGGATCATTTGTGTGAATTATATTTCTATAGTGTTTCACAAATTTATGTGTAGAATTCCTTACTGATTTCGTCTATCCCAGATGATTTGTTGTTTCGCACGGATTTTATAGAGTTGTAATTTCGTCGCTGGTGAGGGGTTGTTCCAACATAAAAATTTCTTGTTTGGATATTTTGGATGAGCTCATTAGCGATATCATTGGTGGTAATCATTTGTCTCGACCCAATTTATATGAATTATAGATATTGATTCGGAATGATAAGTGAAGATTTGTTTTTATTAAATACTTCTTTCAGAAAGTGTCGAAAATATTATTGGTTTGAAAAAAGTTTTGAAAAAAT